CTTTCCACACAGGCACACTTCATGTTTGGTTGAAATAATCCTTAAGCATGTCAATTTATAATTTCCTTCAGTTTAATTTAAAAGTGCAATTAAAATAAATCAAAATAAATGTATATTTTAAAGTTTAGAATCAGACAATTGCACAGTGAAAATGACCCCAACGCACCACCTAGTGTCCAACCTACTCTAATACTATTATAACCTGTTTAAATATGAACAAGGGATTTACAACATTAAAGAAATCCTTTATTTATAACACGTACATGAAAAATCTAAAAGATTAGACACAACTATGGGACAGCAGCGAGCAGCAGTGAAAGCAACCTCAAGGTTGTAAATGTGTGAAATTGTATAGGGCCCCATTCCTGTATTTTGCCCGGGGCCCCCAAATCACTAAATCCGCCCCTGAGTGTGTGTATTAGTGGTAATCATGGGTAACTGTTTTTGGATGAACCCTCGACTGCAGTCATCTTTAGCACTAATATTCAATATAGATGTAGATGTTGAGGGAAGTCACGGGGTGGACTGACGTCAGACCAAATCTCATTATTCAGAAACTCATTCCTGCATTTCAGCTCTTTCATTTCTCTTTTCTGTTCTTTTCATGAAGAGAAATCCTTTGTCTTTAGTAATGATATGTCATTTATTTCACATGCCAATAACACGCAGCTTCGACTGACTTGAGCACCTGTTACATTAATATTACATTATTATATATTATATTATATTACATATATTATATTACAGATAACGGCATAAGTAAGGGTAGGCTACTTTTTGTTTGCAAAACACACACACACACACACACAACTATGCAGAACATGAAAAGGGCTTTATATAAAATTAGGACTTACCGAGCGCTAAATAACGTTTCTTGATGCCTGTTTTTTCTTCGATTTTATTAAGACAGTCAGTGAGTATATTCTTCTCGTTCAAAAAAGCCTCGACGCGGTCTTTGAGCTTTGTAAATATGGCAAGCATCGTGGCTTAAAAGGAAAGCGTAAGGTTCTGCAGTGAAGCACAGGTGTATGGCTCTCGGGTCTCGGACAGAACAGACTCAATCCGCTTACTGTCAGACTGTCGCGTCTGAGGGAGGATCAACACTGACTGACTGACAGCAGCGAGACCGATTACTTCTGCTACTTTCAGATGAGGGAAATGTTCTGTCGCTTTAAATTCAACTAAAACGCATTTAGGCCACTCTAGTTTACTTTAATTTGATTATCGCTTACGGTTATGTGTTTACCCGTTTCCGCCACTAAATAAAAAAAACAAAAAAAATGTTATTGCGACTTTTTATCTCAAAATTCGGACTTTTTTCACATAATTGTAAGATATAAACGCACAGTTCCGTGTTATAAAGTCAGAATTGCAAATAAAAACGGGCAATTCTGAGTTTATATCTTTCAATTCTGTATAGCGTGCCTACTGTATGTTGTTTGGAATTTAAAGGGGTCATATGACGCGATTTCAAGTTTTCCTTTCTCTTTGGAGTGGGTGGATTCCTTCTTAGACTTGTCTAAAACCATGTACTTCAACGCATCTGACCAGAACCTCAGTCTGGAGGCCTACGGAGTGCCCTTCTCCTGCTGCATACGGCTAAAGAATGAGGTCAGATTGTGTCAAATCAAATATTAGTAATGCGTATGAATACATTTGCAATCACTTTTAATAAATTAAACAAATAATTACAAAACGTTGTGTGCTTCATACACTATAAACTGTTTATCCATTTATGTGTAGACTGTGTTCAACTCTATGTGTGGCTATGAGACCCAGAAGATGAAGAAGAGTGTGGGGAGTCGGCTCATCTACACCACTGGATGTCTGGACGAGATCGTCTGGTGGGGAACACAGAATCTCCTGCTGGTGGGAGGGATGACACTCGCCTTACTTTGCATTGAGGTTAGGCACAACCTGCGTCATTTATTTTTCCACAAAAATACGTCATCCATGCAGCACTTTATTACTGAAGAGTCTCAAAACAAGTGAAAGACTACAACAGAGCCATATGCGTCACACTGAAAGAGTGGAGGATGGAGTTCTTCCACATGTAGGGGAGTAGATGTCAAGTCAATAGCACTTTTAACAATACAGATTGTGTCAAAGCAACTGCACAGCATTAATTAGCAAAATAGTGTCAATAATGCAAAATGACTATAGTAAACACTCAATTTTCAGTTACAATTTAAGATGTGGGCTCTCCATTGATTTATACAAGTTTACATTGGTCATAGTACATGGTAATTGTGCAATTTGTTCCTTGAATTTCTTAAATTGACTGAATGGGGAAATTATAGCTCAGCAATCATTTTCAAAATGTATTCGAGAGATTGTCTGTATGAGGGAGAATACATTTCAGCGAAACACATAGATGGCAAATATACTACTGTTGTTTATTATTATATTGTAAGAATAGCTAAATTGATCAATATTAAATATTATAATTTATATAGTTGATTATTAATAACTACATTAACTCTCACAAAAAAATGAGAAAAACACATACTTATTTGTAAAATAGAGATTGTATAGATATAGTTGCTTGCTTTTTCCCTTGAAGATATGTCATGAAATGAAAGCTACAAAAAGTACACTAATAACAACACATTATGTTGTTATTAAACACATAATAACAACTAAAATAAAGAAATATTAAAAATAAAAGTCAATAACCATGCAAACCTACTGGTACAAAAGCTCAGTCTTACACGCGTGTATTAATGTTTTCTAAAACATTAGGATAACATGGACTCGGGTTTTGCCCTGAATATAGCAAATTCACTACTCAAAGCAGTTCTACTCAATTGTTTTATTTAGTGAAAAACAAATATATATTAAAAGGCACCCAAATTACATAGACCACTGTAAAACCCACATTGAGCCACTTAGAAACATCTCTTATAGCTCATAGCTGGTATGTAGGTACATTAAATGCACATGCAAAACAGACAAAAGTAAATCTCTTTGCATTGAGGCTAATAAATGATTTGTCTGTTCTTCAGATATGTACAGCTCTGTCAAATCCGAAGCGTTCAACAGAAGAAGAGGAAACGTAACCCTTTGCTACAACAGAAAGTCTTGACTGGTTTTATACGCTCAGCCTTCACCATGTGCAGGCATTGGAACTCAATGATGCATTGCACTCGAAATACCAAGTTATAACATGTTACAAATTAGATGCAAAGAATGTGATTGTTACTCTTCATTATACTGTGAGTTACTAAGGCAAAAGCTGTGATTAAATCCCGTACTAACATAAAACTGTATTTTTCCAGTGCCTTATTATTTGTAATGTTAATAACATATATTTTGGAACATGCGGTCTTACACACTGCTTTACTTTTAACACTTTGATTAAATGACTATAAAATGAATAAATAGCAAATTGTTTGATTATTCTTAAAAATATATATTATTATGTAATTACACAGATGATTTCCTAGCGCATAGCCTAATTCTGTAAGCAGGTGGGGTAAGAGGTTTGGAACCTAGAACGTATTTAGAGGAGAACACATGTGTTGGACGGTTTGCTTTTCATCAAACCGATGCCGATGAAATTGAACTGAGCAGGGTTGTAATCTGGGAGCTCGTTGATGACGGTGTGCGGAGCGTTCAGGCTTTTCTCCCGAGAGGTAACTCGGTAATGTGCTCTGAAGATCCGGAGGGGGTTGTATCCAGGTTTAAGGGTGTCTGGACAGCAGAAACCTTCCTTGATGAACGAGCCATGCTGGGACACGGCTACAAAGCCATCCTTGTGTGGCATCATCTTTATGACTGGAGAGTAGACGAACTGGACGTACAGCAAACAACCTGTAATGAAATGACCAAAGCCAAGCAACTAAATCAGACATGAAAGTTATTAGTAAATCTTCCACAGAATGATTAGTCCTAAACAAGTAGGTGTCATGCACAACAGTGAACAGTCCTCACCACTACAGACATCCCAGACTTTGATGGTTTTGTCCAGGGATCCAGTGAAGACGTATTTATCATTTATTGAGAAGACAGCACAGAGGACGCCTTCAAAATAAAAACCCTTAAAGATGGAACAAGACGACACATGTCCTATTAATCTCACACAATGGTTGTTGGCAGAATTATACGTCATCATAGGCTTGCTCCGAATGCAGAGCACACTGAAAAAACATTACTTCTTCAGGAGTTCATTAGTTCCGAGTCAGAGGTTTTCGCAACATGATTGAGTAAAAAAAAGTTCCGGTCCTTGATTCTGATTGGTTGAGCCGCGATCGAAGCTGTTGTAAATTACTCTACAAACATACACCTTAGTTTACTTCTGTGTGCTGCTCGGCAACCACTTTCTGAGGAACTACATTGTTTGGTGGAAGAATAATGTTTTTATTTATATCATTACACTTTATTTGCTCCGTTTTATTCTGTGAAACCTTGCTACGTATATGGAATAACCGGTTTATAAAAGCAATAAGCCCCGTGAAGCCGTGGTTTACAGCGAATTTATAACAGCTAAGGGGATTTTAGGCACTCTTGTGTAAACCTCGTGCAAACCATGCCTTCTTGGGGCTTGTTGCTTTATGATTATTCGAGTATCACATTATTATCTTAACAACATGCTAACAACAAACTCTAATAACATTTACTTTAAACTGAGCCAACATAGACCCATCCACAGACAAATAATAGTTCGACAGACTATATTACCTGGTGTTTATGAGTAAATAACGTTTATGTTTATTCAAGTATCACGTTGTTAAGATGGGCATGGTAAGCTGGTCAAACTGGTGTCCCAGCCTGAAATGGTCAAAACCCCTTTAAAACCTATTTTAATTAGTATTATGGGATTATGTCATTTTTATGCTTATTTGAGTATCACACTGCTATCTTGCAACATGCTAACTAATTAAATTTATTGTAAACAAAGCCAAAGTAGACCCAACCACAGACAAATTATAGTTCAATAGACAATTTTAACTGGTGTAGCATGTACTTTTTATGCTCATTCGAGTATCACATTGTTAGCTTAGCGACATGCTAACAACACACTTTTAAAATTAATTGTGAACAGAGCCAAAACAGATGAACTTCAGGGCAATTCATAGTTCAACAAACAATTTTACCAAGTATTTGAGAGTTAGATGAGAAAACATGTTAACTACAAACTTTTTAAATTGATTGTTAACAGCCAAAATAATATTAATAATAAAAACAACTAAAACCAGCCTATGCTGGTTGGCTGGTCTTAGCTGGTTTTAGTTGGTTGGTCTGCTGGTCTCTCAGCCTGACCAGCTAAAGAAGTGGTCAAAACCACTCTAAAACCTATTTTAATTAGTATTTGGGATTATGTCATTTATTATGCTCATTTGAATATCACATTGTTATATTAAAAAAACATGCTAGCAACAAACTCTTTTGGTTTAATTTAAAAAGCTCAATCAATTATAGCAACCGGCAAACCCTCACCTTGTACTCCATGGTGTGATTCAGCAAGACGGGACTCAGATTCCACAATTTCTGAATGCAGTCTTGAGAGCCAATCAATGCTTGTGCATCCCAGTTGCTCATAGTGATACAGGTTATGGCTGCACCGTGATGATCCAGCTCGGCTGCCGTGGCGCTCTTAAAGTCGTAGGTCACCACTTCGCCACCAAATGTCCCATAGAGCAGCCTGCAGTCAGACAGCAGAGCCATGGCAGAGATAGGGGAATGCAGCAGGCACAGGGTGTACCTCTCAAACGGGCCGTCCACACAGGGGAAACTGTCTCTCGATGTAATCTCAAAGAGACAAACCGAATCCTCATAAGCCACGGCCATTCTGTCCTCCCGCGGGCTGATGGCCATGCTGCGTACCATTGGTAGGCTTTCTGGAGGTGGTAGGCACAGGGTTTCTGGGGCAAAGTCTAGTGGGTAAATAAGGATGGTACCAGTCCGCAGTCCACAGAAGAGTAGACGTTTCTGCTGGGCTAGTTCCATACAGCACACTTCTGAGGACACGTCCATACTGTCGGACCGCAGACCTGTGAAACATATGAACAACTTTGGCTTGAGAACTTTTGCAGATTTGATTTGAGTTTCATTCGCTAAAGATATCGCGCACATAAATACAACATTGAAAACCAGTATCTTCTTATTACATGTATCACCTTCTGAGCAGCTCCAGGTGAAAACCTGTGTTTTATTTCCCTCTTTCACATAGAATACAGTATCACCGTCTTTCGACAGGGCCACTAGAGGGTAGTATGCCGGGATGAAAGACTTGCTCCTGTGCTTGGTGTTGTAGTCAAGCTGCCATACTTTGAGCTGGTTGGCTATAACGGAGGCAGAGATAATAGTGCGCTGATGGACAGCCAAAGAGGACACAGCAGAATCCATCACACCGATCCAGTCCAGCAGGGCTCCTGTGGTGACACTCCACACCTTGAAGAGCACAAGAGGATCAACTTCCGTTCGGGACAATGGCAGTGAGATGAAACTCTATGGGATTAAACTGACCCGTACAATCCGATCCTGGGCACTTGTGATGATTTCACTACCTTCACTGCTTGAGACGGCACATAAGACTGACGCATCATGGTGAAGATCCAGAACCCTCTGCATTGAAGTCAGCGTCACGAGGAACACGCACAATGTTCTGTCACATCCTTCAACAAGAAAAAAAAGTGGACTTCACACAAGCAAACAATTTACAAATTTGTGTTGTAAATGAAATCTCATTTAACAGAAAATAAATACAGTCAGCCAAAACTAGCAAGTTTATCATATTATATTATATGTCTTATAATAATTAACTAATTTAGATGACCAAAAAATGTAATACTTAGTCTTTTCCCTAAGGAGCTCTGATTCTAAAATCATTGAAACACAGCTATTCAGCCCTCTCACCAAAATTGTTGTAAGAATAAAAAAATAAAAAAAACAACAACAACATTTAGCTATGGGAAACTAAATACCAAAGGTCTCGAATAAACACACACAAAATAAATAAATAAATGAAAATAAATAAATTGGTCCTAAACTAGATAGCTGAGTGATAGCTTCAATTAGGCTAAATCTGCAACCCTGTTAAACCATTCAGTCATTTCATTATAATATTCATTACATTTTATTTAATTATTAAAATACACGATAAGATAGAATAAAACAGTTATAATATTTATAACATATTTAACAGGCAAGCTTTAACTTATACATAAAATGACTAATGAGAAAATAAGAGACTATAAAGTAAAAACATTCTGCATAGATATATCAATTATTTCAAAAATTAAATTCTGTCATTACTGAATTTTGTTTATGGAGGGATGTATGGTTTAAAAGAAAAAAGAAAGAAAAAAAATCACAATGTGGGGTTTTGGTGCCTTCTTGAGTCCATTTTCTCCAAATAATAATAATAATAATAATAATAATAATAATAATATTAATAATAATTATCTGATACTTTTTTGTATTTGTTTTTTTAATCTATAAGCCTGTTACCCTTTCAGTCAATATCATTATAATATTAAATTTTATTTAATTATTCCAGTATATGCTAATATAATATAAAACATAATATTTTATAATATATAAAACAAAACTAAAGACGAAGTACTTCACATTGTTAAATAAATGTCCCTTTTTTACAATTACAAGCCTTATTAATGTATTTGAGGTAAGCCATTCATATTTTGATTTCCTGAAAAGTGTAACCTTGGTCTTGGTCTAAACATTGTTTTTTGTAAGCGGCCCAACATTCGACTTGGGCCTAAAAACTAATGTTAATGGTTTTTTAATGAAAGATTGGGGATGTGTTTGGAATATTTGTTTTGTTCAGAAATTGTTTGACCTTAGTGATGCACACACTTCAAGAGTAATTAATAAATGAGAAAAGATAATCAGAACATGACACGTGTTACAGCACCTGCAAACAGCAGTTTTTCATCCTCAGATGTTCTGAGGAACAAAGCTGGAGAGGGAAGATCAACCACAGACTCAATACTATGGCTCCATACCTGCACACACACACACACACACACACACACACAAACCTTCCAATAAAGCTGAAATGCTAGATTTTGCTTGGTCTTTACTGAAACAAGATACATACCGAATGGAGACGGCCTTCCCCAAAAGCAATGAGTATCTTGGGGTATTTGGAGAGTGTCAGAGAGCAGGTGAGATTGTGGTGTCCAGCAGGGCAGGGTAGGGGGGTCTGGGAATGTTGCATGCCAGTGGATACGTCATAAAAACAGAGTGCCCCCTCACTGCATATGCATGCTACTGCATCTCCCACAACACCAAGAACAGAACAAACGCCTGCCGTCAGCTCATACAGGGGCTCTGCAGTGTCCAAGTGCCAAGCTTTAACCTGTACGGGAAAGGATGGCAGAGAAAATATTAACCAACAGCATTCTACATAGTTATTTAAAAGATTAAAGGAACCCAAAAATGAAAATTCGGTCATTATTCATTTTTGTTGATTACATTTTTTGGTCTTTCTGCTCTTGTTGTAGTTATATTTTTGTTAGGCTAGATCTGCATGCAGACGCTTTAACATTTCTCAATTACCATAACACAAATACTGACATCATACTGGGGCCAGTTGCATAAAATGCTGAGCATGGTCTTACAAGTTTGTCATTCATTAATTTATTTAAGACTGGTCATAACGTTTTTTTAAAGTTGATTAAAAATGTTGATTGGACTCACTTGAATCTGAAAAATAAGACTCCTTGTCTAACAGCCTCAGCATAGTGGCTACGTTTAAACAACTGGCTCCTGGTTTGGTACGATAAGCGGGCGAGTGAATAATGACAATTTTCATTTGATCATGATCATGTTTCTTTAATATAAAAAAAAGGAAATGTAAAGTTAACATTTTTCATACTAGGCTGCTTGGGTTGGTTATGACAATCCTCCTTTCTTCGATCATGTGAATGTGTGTAGGGGTGTGTGTTTGGACAGACACTGCATCAGTGATGCAGAAAAGCTGTTGTCCACTTATCAGACACCATTTTCTTAGTGTGCCATCGAGTCCAGTAGACAGACAGTGATTGGTTTTGTCCATCAGCTTCAGGGAGAGCACCCCCGCTACACAGAGAAAGAGAAACATAAGGGTTTATATTCTCATATACTTGAACCGTGTTCACCCAAAAGCATTTTTAGTGAAGTTTCTAATAGGCACACAGAAACTATTTGAAAATTGGCGAGCAAACATTTCTATATTTAAGTTAGCCATGACCCTTATTTATTTGTTTGGCTGTTTGTTAAACTATTAATGTACTTACAAAAGTCAGAAAGAGCTATATATACAGTATATATATATATATATATATTTGTATATACACACACACTGTATATTTAAACAAAAATAGACAATAGACAATAAAAGGGATAGTACCGGTCCTGAATTCTGATTGATCAATAGAGTGTGCTATAATTCATGCTAAAATCAACAATGCAATGTGAAACACCATATAACTGCACACCTCCCATAGCAGAGTGCTATTTTTGTTGCATAGCAACGTTCTTTGAGGGAACTATGGGGGAACTGAAGTGAGCACTCTTCAGGGAGCATGGCATTACTGTCTCATTGGGGACTGTTTGGTTCATCTTACACAAGGGATCATTTGTTCTGTTCTATTAAAAAAAAAAAAAGTAAATAATTAACAAAATTTTGTAAAGAATACTCAATTTAATAAAAATACATAATAAAGTAACATCTGAACTACTGGCCTGACTAACCGGCAGAACGAGAATATATGTGTGTGTGTGTGTGTGTGTGTGTATATATATATATATATATATATATATTAAGCCCAGAATTCCACATTTCAGGTTAGAGTTCATTAGTCCTGCCCACTTTTTTTTTTTTAGCAGTGCTGGTTCTGGAAGTATTATTTATTAATATTATATTCCCAATATCTTTTGCAGAGAGATTTTTGTTAAAGCGTTATAAACCATGAACCAAGCAAACCAGCTACGAGGTCAGTCACAACATTACAAACTTTATTTGACGTATATGAAAAGTATATGAACAACAGACAAAAAGACGAAGGTACAATACTGAAAGTATTTTGAGAGCGTGCAGAGACCGACTCAATTATGTAATTCATGGATCTTCATGGGAGTGGGCGGAGCTAAAGATCTCTTTTGGTGTGCTTTGCTCGCTGCAACTCTGATTGGTGAAACTTTCTGTACAGCATCATGGGTAATTTAGGTTTTCACCACAAATTCTGCTATTAAACATGGTTATGTTAAAGGGGTCATATGATGCTATTTTAAAGATCATTATTTTGTGCATTTGGTGTAACAGAATATGTTGACATGCTTTAATGCTCAAAAAACACATTATTTTTCAAATACTGTACATTATTGTAGGTCCTCTATGCCCCGCCTCTCTCAAACGCTTCGTTTTCTTCAAAGTCCCTCCTTCCGACAAGCGCAGTCTGCTCTGATTGGCCAGCTGACCCAGTGCATTGTGATTGGCCAAACACCATAAGCACGTGTCGGAAATGTAACGCCCCTTACCATAATCGCAAAGTAAATATCAAGACAAGTTATCGCACTGAAACACAGCGTCTCCCTGACATACTGCTTCAACACTAACTGCTGTTCCTGAAACCACGCCTTCTTTCTTTGCGTGCACATTTGTCAGCATTATGCTAATATTTCTACATAGTGATGTAGATATGTGGGGGTGTGTTAGAACGAGCCGTTTTAGGTAGGCATGGCTGACTCTGAACTTTTATATAGAATATCTCTTTGGATTTGAGACTTTAGTCTTTGCAACTTTACAGATCTTCTTTATGCACCAAGAGCTTGTAACACTCCAAAGAGAAAGGAAAAATTGAAATCGCATTATATGACCCTTTTAAAAGTAAATTGAACTAATGTGAGTAAATGGGTTCAAGAATGGAGTAACAACCTTGGAGCTCACAACAGGCCTGTCTTTAAAGGTTTATATTGTTTAAAATCAATTTTCCTGTGGAGTTTTTACTTCCGGAACGCAACTGTTAATTAGTTCAGAATCAAGGCAGAGACACTCTACACCCTAGGCTTCTTCATGGTTAAGAACCTACCAGTGTGTCCAGAAAGAGTGTGAAGAGTCTGGAGATGGTTTAGATTCCAGACTATAATCAGTCCATCCTCTGAACCTGCTACCAGCAACTCTCTCTTTGAGCACAGCACGATGGCCTTCACCCCTTCAAAAGTCACGAAAACACAATGATATGAAGCAACATTAAGCAGAGCAGCAACAGCATGTGTGTTAAGGGGTTTTTAATCTAAACCAATACTGAGCTCCTTTGGGTCACCTTTCATGAACCCTGTGAGGGTGCTCTTCAGTGGGCCCCCAGGGGCCTGAAAGAAGCTGCATTTGGGCACAAGCACTGGGTCAGTACAGGAACCAAACCAGCCCACGCACTGAGAACACAGCTGACCAATCATGGAGGGGTAGAGATCAGCAAGGCCCTGCAGCCTGGCGAAGATCTCCGTGACCAAAAGTGAGGGATCTTAGAGAAGCAGGAGATAGAAGAATTGGTTAAGTTAAAAACAAATAAAAAATACAAATACTGAAAGATGAGTTATATTGTGGCAGATTTCTAGAATTGTTAGCAATGTTTAAAGGGAAAGTGAAAGAATGATGAACTGGTGTGGCTGGTTTTCCTGTCAATAAATAAAGGAAAAATGTCGCTGAATATCATCTGTAAAGAGTTATAGAGGATGTATAAATGCATTTAAAAAAGCAAGAAATGAAGCATTGATAATACATAAATAACTTGACAAATACATTGTGTATTTAGCAACTTTTTTTTTACATATTTAACAATAAAAAATTTAAATATCAATTAAACAAATAAATCATTTAGATTTTTTTTTTAAATAAAGTATTTATTAATTGCTTTTCTTTATCCATTTGCCAACTCCTTTTTTTTTAAAGCTCATTAAGCATGATCGTCATCATGCAGAAGCAACCAATCAACATTTGACTACATTCTAAAATAAAGCGTGTAATGTCAGTTTGGCAATGGCACACTTCACCTTCCTAGACCACATTAAAATGCTTGAGAAATGCAGTTTACTTTCCCTGATTTCTTAACAATCTCTAAATGACCTCCAAGCTAACAGACATGAACTAAAAGCCACACAACTCCAAATTACGATTTCATGAAAACATGAAGCTAAAACCTATTTCTTAATATTCCCTTACAAATGAATTCTTATTTACATTTGCTTTATTAAAGGTGCAGTAGGAGATCTTGGAAAATGCTAGCTTTAGCCTGATAGTACTGAAAGCGAACGTTCCCCCCTCCCTGAAATCGCCATCCAAAGCCACGCCTCCTGAACGCATATACGCTCAGAGACAAGAATAATACCAGACACAACGTTACTACAATAGGCTACATCAGCGGTTCCCAATTCCAGTCCTTCACACTTCTCTAGTAAGTTTCGTCTGTGTGTGAAGACGCTGCGCAGCGCAAATCAGTGAATGAATGTTCCGAAGTGAAGTAAGCTTCAACGGATTTCCCCCGCTCAGGGAGTAGGGAGCAATGAACACTGTGTAGGGATAATATCGATCGGAACACAGTTCATGCACGTAGCTCACTTCTAACGAGCTGGTTGGGGGGCGCGAGGACTGGAATTGGGAACCGCTGGGCTACATCATGCGTCATTATATGAGAAAACTGTAAAAGATTGGGTTGTTGATGTTTGTCTGCCATTCTCGCTCTGTCTGCACAGCGTGCGTGAACGCGCTGATGACGTATCCTGTCTGCGCGAACTGGGTGCGCAGAGGTATGCAAATACATACGTTGACAGGCAGGTAGGAAAGCCAATTAAAACGCTCGGACCGAGTGTTTTGATTGGACTAACATTTCTTGGTCCTACGCCTTCTACAGAATATATAAATACAGATAAATTCATTTAGACCACTTAACTTAATGATTGCTATTGAGATTTGAAGAGACTTTCAACCAGCATAACAAAAACTGTTTCTGAAGACAACACTTACCCACACGACCGTCGCTTAAATCTAACAAGGGCTTGAGAAGCAGAAATGTCTCTTTCAGCATTCGTATCTCAGGACAGTCTGTGAGGTCAGTGCAAAGCGACAGGTCCTGAATAACACAGCTTACACCACACCGAAGAGTTTTACAACATAACCAGTCCAGACTGCCTGTGAGAATAAATGAACATTCATATTTGTATATATTTGTTTATACATGTCGTACATGTTTATATATTTAAGTTTACAAAAACATAAAACATAGACAGCTGTCAATGTGTCATTCAAGTGAATAGATTTGGCTATTTTTGAATGTAGCTATTCCTATCTAAACCTCACCTAGCACTGATTGGCGTAGCTCCTCCCATTTGCCTGCATGAGCGAGATGATAGGGTAGTTCATGAAGCTTCCGCATATTGGCGACTTCTCCAGTGAACCACAAGGGCTGGGGTGGTACCTTGAAAAACATAGCATGTTTTACAATCAAAAATATAGGTTATTTAGCATCTAAAGCATATTTGACATAATGCTGATTTTGTGACCTTAAACAATACCTTTCTGTCAGCATTGAGCAGCGTACTTAGTGAGGGAAGAAGGATCGGCCTGAGCTGCCCCTGACTCCACTGTCCTAAGAAATATTCGGCGAGGATGGCATGCATGTCTGTTTTCATATCGCGTGATAAATATCTCTTCCTTATCAGCTCTGCGAACTGCCTAAGTAAAGTAAAGGCTGAGTTAGAACGGTGATGGAAAGGGCATAGCACTTGGACTTTTCCTAGTATGTTGCTTGACTGGTGGGAAAATTCGGAACACGACAGTGGTAACAGAAAGGTCTAATAAATCCTTTACCTGTGGGTGAAACCCAGCAGAATAACACCACCCTCCCATCTCTCCGTCAGATGAGCTGTCAGGTCATGCCGGAGCCGGGACCAGTGAAGTCGTGGGAAGCGCAGGAGTGTGTGACTTGGAGGAAGCCAGTACTTATAAATTTCAGCCAGAACGTCATTATCTAACGACAAGACATCCTGTAACTCTGCCTCTGATAGACCACTTCTGAATATATAAAAGACAAATAATTACATTTAGAAACTTAGATGTTTATTACGGTGCGTGTCAACATTAAGAGTTGAAGGCTAGTTTCTGAAATGGCAAATATAGCCACAAAAAGCAGACTTTTAACATGGCACAGAGGTTGCTTAAACACATTAGCCATGGCAGCTCAAAATTCAGAATTTAAGAATTGGCTACCATTCAAATGAATGTGAATTTGAATATGAATGTGAGTTTGAATAGAATTGGCTACACCCACATGATGTTGCACTGGAATTTGAAAGATAACAAATTTTACTGAATTCAAAGAAATTAAAACAACCACATAATAAGTGATAAGTTTCATTAGCCAAACTGTTT